ATTGAAGGTTTTTAGGTGCGTCTTATAGTGCGGAAAATACGGTAATTTATGAATGGGAGGAGAAGCACGTCAAGCCATAAAAAACTTTATAAAGATGCTCAGAGCTCAGGATAAAAGTACGAAAAGGCCACGAAAAACTAAAAAGCTAGCTTTTAGTTGCTAGCTTCACAGCCGAATGAAGCTAGCAACAACGTGGCTGGCCCAGGAGTTCAGAACACCGGAACAACCATGGACTCAGATGGAATATTTAAGGGTACCGATGATTTGAAGATGACCTTAAAGAGGGACAATGCAAAACCAAAACAAGCATTTGGGACATGAGATTCACGGTAAGCTGGATAGTATTGTCACTGATGTACAGGGCCTAGCTGAGCGGATTGACAAGGCAGACGCCAGCGTGCATCAAGGGGACAACTGGGCGAAGGTGGCAACCGAGGCGCTGTGCTCCTGCATCGAGCAGCAGAGGATGCTCCAGTTCAAGCGCTAATTTAGAGTCCCACTTCAGAAGAAACCTGTATCTTTGGGGTCCCAGAAGGACAGGAGGTTAACTCTGTCATACAATTTATTGAGGCGCTTTTGAGAAGCCAGCTGCAACCTATGGCACAAAAAAATTTTCATAGAGCTATTGGGAAAAAAAATGGATAACGCTATTTGATATAAACATTTGTCAAAATGTTTATATCCAAAAGCTGATCGTGAGAACGTGAGATCCAATAGGTTGATCGTGGCATCAACCTGTCCCAAACATGGAACTGTAATGTTCATATGGTGCTTTGTATCTTCTGTTTTGAGCCAATCCATTTCATGTTCCTCATTATCATTATGTTTTGCACCTTTCTGATTGTTTCTCTTCTTGGGCCTCATTGATTCACACTCACGCTACAATATTATCAAATGCATTATGCAAGTAGGTTTCCAGCACTCTTCATCTCACCCTCATTGTTGTGCCCTCGCTCTTGTTCCCTGGATGTGTCCCCTGGCTTTGCCCTGGTCGGATTGTTGCTAGTTGTCTATCTGGATCTCGACCCACGCCTGTATTACAGATTCCCCACCTACGGCATGGATAAATAATCTGTTCACTGCCTCTTCATGTATGACCGTAGCCCGTCTGACCCAGGATTTGGATATGGAATTGTACTTTTGTTGAACATGGAGAGGACCAAAGCAGATAGCAGAAGCGCCACCCTGCATCAACGCTCCTCCTCCCCGGGTTCTCACCCCTGAGCCCTCCATCAGTGGACCATCTGCTCCCTTCTTCCCCTCGGCCGATCTGTACAGTATCTGATAGGCAGGCCAGGTTAGTGTATATTCCACACACTAAGATTCCTTTAGTGTTTCTCAGATCATCGAGCTCTCTTCTCCGCCCCCCGCAGTGCTGCAGCTGCTTCTTAGTGTGGTCTATTATATGTAGTGTTTGTATTGTGGTGTCATGAATTTAATGAACCTTTAATTGGTCTTCATGAATCTGTCAAGTAATGCTCCATTCCCCTTGAGACTGTTGATGTAAAAAGTTTAGAATCAACATTCAGAATTGAGATTATGTAATATGATTCAATGTATTCAATGTTTTTCCCTTCTTTAGGGAGGACACATATTACAGCCTCTCTCCAAGATGGTGGCTTCTCTGCTCTACTCCAGAGTCCAGGGGAAAGCTCCTCCCTGAACATGTTGCACCACTCTTTTGGAAACCCATTACTATGTGGGCACTTATTAGTTTTCAAATAGCAACGTTGGAGACAATGTGGCTGGCCATCAGAACAACAATTATTCTCTTATTTTGGTCCTGTCCAAAGTAGCACCTTTGGACAGGACCTTTCTACTGGGATATGTCATCCCCACGAACCCCAGCATTCTCCTTTTGAGGCTAATATCTGGAAAGGTGCATTAAAAAGAATACCTTTATCTATTTAAAATTCTATCAGTTGCAAGCAAAAAAGCGGTAACCTGGTCTTGGTTAAAGAAACTCCCACCCCATTGGCAATTCATGGAAGAGATTCCTTCTATGGGAATGTGGCATATCTTCTATGCACCAAAGGACAGTCTTTCAACAAACATTGGCCTAAATGGTTTACATATAAGAGCAACGGAAGCATAAGACCTAACATTATGTAATATTGTTTTTCTCCCACTAAACTACAAATCAGTGATCCAAGTTCTGTGTGCTTTGTATGTTTTACTGTAATAATGAAAAAGGTTAAATAAAGAGTCTTTAAAAAAAAGAATTCATCACAGTCTGTAAACGGCATTTACTAATTCTGTCAGCAGGGATGGGGCATGGTTTGTGTATTAATCATAAATTACGTCCCGCCTCGTGTTTAAGAGGCTTATCTTTGCTGCCAGCGAAACTGCCGTCTGAAATTAAAAAACTGACCCAAATTGTTTAATGTGAGCTCAAGAGAATTAACATCACACAGTTGACAGCTAGCCAGAGAGATCTTTTCAATGAGCCCTTTATTGTAAGCTAAAGAAGCAGTCCCACTCTTTTCAGCCAACTGTTGTGAAGTGTGAGTTGTTTTTCTATCAGTTTTTGCATAACAAAAAGATAATGATATCCAACCATATAGTACAATGGTTTACATGAGCTTTCATGTCACTTGGCATTTACCAGTCTCTTACAGCATTTGTCATCTTGAATGTAAAGACTAATGTAATTTTTGGGAGAGTCTTGCTGATTTCTGATCACTTCAATTTCAAAAATGGTCCCTGACTTCAAAACTTTAGCTGCTGCTTGTAATTCCAGTCCAGTGCGGCAGCAGAGTGTGGAGTCAGACTCCAGGTCAAAGCCCTGAGGATTTGATTAAGCACAATTGGGTGAACCATTTATACCCATGTTCATAACTTGAGTGCAAGCTACATGTATGTGCTACATGTGTGCAAAAGTTTCTACGTCTTACTACATCATCTTTTTTTTTTTTTTTTTTTTTTTTTTGCAGCCATGAGTAATGTCAACATCTGATAAAATCACACTTTGCGTGGGCTGGTTGATTCACTTCAAACCAGTAGAGCAGGGGTCCCCAAACTACGGCCCGCGGGCCGGATCCGGCCCGCCACGTCATTTGGTCCGGCCCCCTGAACAATGCCGGATCCGGCCCGCCTGCTCATACCAGAGAGCATTCAGTGTTTTTTTTCATATATTGTATTTTCCGGTTTATATGTGGATTTTTCTTCAACCACCAGGGGGCTTTTGAGCAAATGTGAAACTTACTTTCCCTCAATGGAATATATACTCGTCAGTCCCAGTCACCGTTTCACTCACGGTTTTTTCCATTTGCATTCTGGGTAAAAATCTATCCAAAAGTGCAAAAACTAAGACCGGCCCCCGACCACAGAAAGGAACAGCTATGTGGCCCTCGCAGGAAAAAGTTTGGGGACCCCTGCAGTAGAGGGAAACACGTCTAATTCATATTTTCTTTTTTTGCAATATTTTAAAAATTTGTCCAAAATTCACATCATAATTGCATAGAAACATGGCTACTGATGCAGCATTTCCAAAGACCTTTTCAGCTTTCCAACCAGTCCAACATCATGAATGACTCACAACATTTTGAAAAAACATAAATATGGCATTTGATTTACAAGAATGCTCTAAAGTCAAGAGGCACATTGAAGATGATGTTACATCTGTTACAAGTTACATATAGGGGTGAATTTGTCTCAATATTATTCAATCAAACAAAAATATTGTAATGGAATATTAGATTTTGGAAAAAACGTTTTGTCTAAAAACTATTTTTTAAATTCAAATCACAAATTTTTGTCTCATGAAGAGAAAAAGTTGCATGCAAAACATTAACTTTTATTTGCACGTGACAGAAGTCTTTGGTTGCAATTCTTAAACTTTTGGTTTTAATGCTCCCTTTTTTTGGTTGAACTCAGAGTTTTAATTGCTGGAAACATGAACATCTTGGGTGGGGCATAAAGATGCGTTAGTGCTGACTAACCCACCTCTGAACTGTACCCTAAACAACCAATTGTAAGCCACAAGTAGTGGTGACATACTTCCATTTAAATTTAAGCCACATCAATCATTTCCGGTTGCCTCTTTCTCCATATTGTTTTTAGCGATAGCTGTACTGTGATCAAGACACAAAATCTATAATATCTGCAAGCTACTGGTACAACAACTAATTTTTGTTGTGTGTTGTTGTATCCATCCAGTAATTAGCAGGTACAATCCAGTGATAAATTATTATTACTTTCCTGTTGATATCAAGGTAACAAAGGACCATGGCTATTGTAGTGGAAAATTTTATGATTATGAATAAAACAATGCATAAAAGTTTCATGATTCTTGTGAGACACACACCTGCTCTAAAGGGAGTCTAGGGAGTCTTCCAGAGCAGTCCCTCTGTTCTTGGTAGTACAATAAATCTATGGAGTCGTTATCTTTCCTGGAATGTTATGATGTACATAGTTTCTGGATTGTTTCTGATAAAACTGTAAGTTTTGTTTGCTCTGGGTTCTTTCTCCTGACTGCGATCAGTGAGCAGAGACTTCGAACGCTGTAGAGCCTTCGAATAAATACTGATTAAGAATATATTCTTTCTCTGGTTCCTTGGGTTTTTGAAACAGTCTATCCTCACTCCTTGTTAAAGGAAAATTTCCACAACACTATCTGCAGGAAAATACTTAGCCACTAAAGCTAACAGTCACACACCATTTCAAACTAGAGGATATTATTTTATATGTCCAAGTAAAGCAAAACAAGATAATGACAGGAGAGGAAAAATGTTAAGTTCTTAGCAGTATTAGCTCAGCCGATGTCTCCCTTCAGGAAGCCACAAAAGCCAAACAGAACTCCAGTCCAGCTCCAGCTACAATGAAGATGAAAAGAGAGAAAACAGTATGGAGTGAAAATAGTCTCAAAATATCTGTACATGCGTAAAAAGATTTCTGCGTATGTAAAAAGATTTGTGTGTGTCTAAAAGTATCTGTGCGTGTGTAATACTGGATTTGTAAACCTTAAAAATAAAACAAATCTTCTCTTAGGCCTATACATGTTGAAAAAGTACACACAAATCACCTGGTACTCGTACACAAAACTGCATTTACACACAGATCCGGTTACGAGTGCACAACTATTTTTGAGACTCATTTCACGCTTCGGGGAAGCTCCCAGATTTGTGTGTAGATGGTGCGTTTACATGCTAGTAAAAGCTGGGACATCTGAGTTTTGCTCTGACGTTTGCTTGTGCCGAAGTGGCAAATACGTTAGTTCGGTGGAAAACGGTATATATCAGCACTTCTTTATAATATCCTAAAATTATTTCTAGACATATTGTGCATTTTTGAGCGGCACAGGAGACTAAGTGGTCTGAAAAAGGACCACTGGGTGGCGGAATGGTTCGCTGGCCGGAAAAATAGCCAGGCAAACCCAGAAGCAAGACGGAGCGTCCCGGTGGTCTGTCCTCTGAAGTAAGTAGGAGCTAAACCTGCAGGCTTTGCCCTCCGATTATAATGAGACATGGAGTAATTATAAATGATTTCAGATTACGTTTTATATGTCTGGTATTTTGATATTCTGCCCTCCTCATATGTTTCTGTTAGCGGGAGCTAAAGTTTATGTCAGCTATGCTACGTTAGCTGTTGGGAGCTAAGCGTGGATTTTTACTGTCACACAGTTTGATCGTCTGTCTTCAGTCTTAACTTTAACCAGGTTGATTAAGTTTTATGATGCCGAAGTCGACAAGCATCTTCAGGAGATTATGGCAGTTATAGATGTTGGTCATTATCACTGAAACCGTATTTTGTTGCTTCAGCAACAAATTCCTGGACCTGCAGGAACATCATCTGCAGCTAGACTTTATTCACCATAACAAACTGAAAGGTACTTCATTTATGTTCACTTTTCAACATACTGAAGGATTTAGTCTAATGTTCACACATAGGCCTGTTAGAATACTCAATAAATCAATTAATCAGATGATAAATTAAAACAAACTCAATCATTTCCATTGGCATGATTTATTGTAAAAGAACCTTTTTTTTCTGTCATAAAGCAGTGGTCAAACTATGGCTAAATGTTTGTAATTTACTTTCTTTTTTTCTCTCTTTCTACCAAAACTGGATAATAAAAGTCTTCAGTTTGGTACTTTGGTCTCGACTAGCCCTTATTTTGAAAAGCAATTTTGTTTAAAAAGACTTCAAAATTCATTAGTTTTATTTATTCTGGATACTAAAAATGTCTTCCAGTTCCAGTGTTAAATGTTCATTAGAATTTAAAGTTTAATGACCTTTGAGAATGTGTTCTTGCATTTTTATTTCGTCATTACCATTATATAACTTAAAAAATGGTCTCAAAAGAACTATATTATCGTTTGTTGAGAACTTTGGAACAACTTATCATACAGTAATTTTTTTTCATGGTAACAGACCTATTCACACATCCTCCAGAATCTTCAGATTAAACTGTTTGTGTCTGGACCCCATTTCATCGGCCCTTAAACAAATATATACCTCGTCTGCAAACCAGGACAAACCTGCTGTTCATTTCAAGTTGATTAATGTAGATGGTAAAATGTATTCAGATGGTTTAGATTTTCACAAACAGTAAATTTCTTTTTCAATTGATATTATGACACAATTGAGAGCTAATAAAGACATACATAAGAAAATAAATATTTTATGCATTTATTTAAAGCACCACTGCAAACATAGCCTTCACAGCAAAACATTTAAACAAAACATTTTCAAATGTTTTACATTAGTAAAACATTTGATCAACATAAAAAGAAAAATGTCTACATACATTGTGATTATTCAAGTCACTTTCAGGTTCAGTAATGTTCTGTCACAGTCAGGTCTGTCGGTGCATCAGCTGTTCAGGAAAATCAACATAACTGTAGACTAAATGTCTATTTGTACTTTTCTCTGCATCTTCAGCCAATCTGCAGCAGCTGAGATTCTGGGAGGTTCAACACCAAAACTTGAAGCTTCAAACTGAGCCGTCAACTGAACCAAGACGCCTTTCAAACAACTACAGTAGTTAACCTGCTCTGTTGGTAGATGTTATGG